AAGAAGATAAATGTTAAGTGAAAGAAAGGAAGAATAAATTATGCAATGAATTACATGACACTCTCAGAGCATATAACAGCATGTGTCTAGTCTGGCATGGTGGTGGGGGGAGGTCTGGAAAGGCCTTGAAGGGTTTGACATTCTGCTGCTCACTGAAAGACAAATGCTAGACTGGGCAAGAGAAGAGGGCTCTATAGAGAGGAGATAGCATGTGCAACATGGCTTGAGACAGAAAAGAAATGGAGGAAAGGGACTGAAAGAAGGTCCTGTGGCAGAGCAGAGGGGCACTGGCAGATGGCACCAGAATCTGCAAGACATCCAAGAAATTGGGAAAGGCTTAGGATTTTATCTTAAAAACCATAATAATTATTTGACACATTTTAAGCATAGAAGAGGTCAGATTAGATTGCCATTTTTAAACTATTATCACAGTCATTTAGAGATCCACAGACATGTTATGTGAATGGTTTGGCATGTATTCCTAGGGAAACTAGGTAAACCATAAGCAGGAAAGTTACTGATAAACCTGGCCTCCATTCCCAGGGTCTCAGCCTGTGGCTTTGCTCCACTGAGTGACAACTACATTGCTTGCACCACACATATGACTCTATATCCTGCATCTCCTACTAGACTAAAAAGACACAGGAGGTCACAACACTTCCTTCATAGTTCCTAATGCCATGCCTGGGATGTGTGTAGTTGATTTTTAATAAAGAATGAATCAATCCCATTTATACAAATTCAAAACTGTCAAAACTATTTATGGTGTTGCAAGTCAGCATAATGGTTGTATCGTGAGCAGAGAGGGTTACTGGATGGGAGTATCAATATTATTTCTTGATCCGGGTGCTGCTTACATTGACATGTTCAGTCAAAAATTAATTGGTATGTATGCAGCAAAGAAAACCATAAAAAAACCCAAAAGAATGACTTACTGAATGGGAGAAGATATTTGCCCGTGATACATCCAATAAGAATTAATATCCAAATTCTATCAAGAACTCACAAAACTCAACAACAACAAAAAATCTAATTAAAATGTGGGCAGGGGACCTGAATAGACATTTCTCCAAAGAGGACATACAGTTGGCCAAGAGACAGACATATGAAAAGGTGCCCAACATCACTAATTGTTAGAGAAATGCAAATTTAAACCACAGTGAGATATCATTTCATGCCTATCAGAATGGCTATCATCAATAAATCAACAAACCAGTGTTGGATATGGAGAAAAGGGAATCAGTTTGCACTGTTGGTGGGAATGGAGAATGTGCAGCCACTAGAAAACAGTGTGGAGGGTTCTCAAGCAATTAAAAATGGAACTGCTTTAAGATCCAGTGGTTCCACATCAGGGTATATATCCGAAGAAACCCAAAACACTAATTCACAAGAACATAAGCATTGCAGCATTATTTATAATAGCCAAGCTATGAAAGCAACCCAAATGTCCATCAATGAACAAGTGGATAAAAATGTTGTGGACCATATATACAAAGGAATATTACTTAGCCATAAAAAAGAAATAATCTTACCATTTATGACAAAATGGATGAACCAAGAGAGTATCATGCCAAGTGAAATAATTAAAAGAAAATATAAATACCATGTGATTTCACTTAAATGTGAAATCTAAATAACAAAATAAATAAACAAACAAAACTGAAACAGACTCATAGACACAGAGAACAGACTTATGACTGCCAGAGGGGAGGGGAGTTGGACGAATGGGTGAGAAAGGTGAAGGAACTAAGAAGTACAAACTGGTAGCTACAAAATGGTCATGGGGATATAAAGTACAGCATAGGAAATATAGTCAATAATGTTGTAATAACTATGTCTGGTGCCAGGTGAGTACTGGAAGCACCAGCAGGAACACTTTGTAAAGTATATGATTGTTCAACCAATATGGCATACCTGAAACTAATACAAAATAATACTGAATGTTAACTGTAATTGAAAAATAAAATTAAGGACTTCCGCCAAGATGGAGGCATAGGTGGAGACATCGTGCTTTCTCACACAACCAAGTTTAGAGACAACAAAATATTAGCAACAGAAAACACAGCCAGAACACAGAAAATTGAACTTTTCGGATGTCTGATAACAACAAATTCCTCAGCCTGATCGGTAAGAGGGGCAAAACCAGCAGCTGGCGGAGCGGGGTTGCACAGGAAAACTCGGTCAGACGAACTTAGGTGCATGGACCCCAGGCCTGGGGTTGCAAAGGGCTGACCCAGTGAGCGACTGGTGGATCCAGCGAGGGTGAAGGGCAGCGGGTTGACTGTGCTGGCGCATTCCTGCACAGATAGACCTGCGAGGGGGTGGACAGTGAGATGAAACTGAGCGGGTCCCAGTGAGGGGAGGAAGCTGATGGCTGCCATTTCCCGGCTCTGACCCCGCCCCCACATACAGTGTCACAACCCAGCGACCTGAACGACCCTACCCTGGTGAACACCTCTGGCTTCACTCCTCACCCAGCAGTGGGAAGCAGGAGAGGGGGACGCCATTTCCCCACTCTAACCCCCCCCACCACATACAGCGCCACAAACCAGCAACCCCGCCCTGGAGGCCCCACCCCACCCCTAAGACTCCGATCCTCATACTTAATGGGCGCGAACAGACGAAAAATGGCTCAAGAAGATCTCAAAGTCCCAGAGTCCATAAATCTAAGTGACGAAGAAATAGCAAAACTTTCAGATGCACAGTTCAAAACACTGGTGATCAGGATGCTCACAGAACTGGTTGATTATAGTCACAAATTAGAGGAACATATGAAGGCTAAACTAATTGAAATGAATGGCAATGCACAGGAAACCAATAGTAATGGAAAGGAAACTGGGACTCAAATCAAAGGAGTGGACCAGAAAGACGATAAAAATGACCAACCAGAAAACAATGAAGAAATAAGAATTCAAAAAAATGAGAAGAGACTTAGGAACCTCCAGGACATCTTTAAACGCTCCAACACCCGAATTATAGGGGTACCAAAAGGGGGAAAGGAACAGCCACAAGTGGAAAACTTATTTGAACAAATAATAAAGGAGAATTTCCCTAATCTGGCAAAGGAAATAGACTTCCAGGAAATCCAGGAAGCTCAGAGAGTCCCAAAGAAGTTGGACCCAAGAAGAAACACACCAAGGCACATCATCATTACATTAGCCAAGATTAAAATGAAGGAGAGAATCCTAGAAGCAGCAAGAGATAAGGGGACAGTCACCTACAAAGGAGTTCCCATCAGACTGTCAGCGGATTTCTCAAAAGAGACCTTACAGGCGAGAAGGGGCTGGAAAGAGATATTCCAAGTCATGAAATCCAAAGACCTGCAACCAAGATTGCTCTATCCAGCAAAACTTTCATTTAGAATGGAAGGGCAGATAAAGTGTTTCTCAGATAAGATCAAATTCAAGGAGTTCATCATCACCAAGCCCTTATTATATGAAATGTTAAAGGGACTTACCTAAGAAAAAGAAGATAAAAAATATGAACAGTGAAAGGACAGCAAACACACAGTTATTAACAACCACATCTAAAACAAAAGTAAGCTAAAAGGACAGCTAGATCAGGAGCAGAACCATAGAAATGAAGATCTCATGAAGGGTTAGCAACAGGGGAGTGGGAGGCGAAGGGGGGAGAAGGTACAGAAAATATGTAGCATAGACGGTAGGTAGAAAATAGATGGGGGGAGCAAGAATAGTATGGGAAATGTAGAATCCAAAGAACTTGAGACACATGGTCATCAACTAAAGGGGGGGAATGGTAGGAGTGGGGGAGTGCAGGGTGGAGGGGAATGAAGGGGGGAATAGAACAACTGTAATGGCATAATCAATAAAATAAAAATAAAAATAAAGAAAAAGAAATTAAAATAAAGAAAAAGAAATTAAACAAAATTAAAAAATAAATTATAACTAAGAAAACTAAAATAAATAAATACTTGTTAAATAGTTTTTAAAAATTCATTGGTCTGTATAATTATGATTTGTACATTTTTCTATGTTTCTATAATATTTTAAATTGATCAGTGAATCAACTATTCAATAAAAATGCTTCCCCAATGTACGATTTGAAGGGCAAGTTAAAGTAGGTGCTGGCAAATATTTTCTATAACAGGGAAGATATTAAATATCTTTGGACTTACAAGCCGTACAAAACAAAAGTAACCACAGACAATGTTGTAAATGACAAGTGTGGCTTTCTTCCAACAACATGTATTGGGTTGGCCCAAAAGTTTGTCTAGTTTTTTCCACACAATGGCTCTAGTAGTACTTTGTTGTCTTTAACTCCATTTGAAATCATTCTGTTACATTGTATTGTGACAGCTGTCATATCAGTGTGCTTCTTTAATAAAAAACTTATCAAAATTAGGAAATTTTTGTACAGCCATTTTAATATTGAATATGGAAGAAAATACACAGCATTTTCAGCCTATTGTGCTTTAATATTTCAAGAAAGGTAAAAAGGCAACTGAAATGCATAAAAGGATTTGTGCTGTATATGGAGAAGGTGCTTTGACTGATCAAACTTGTCAAAAGTGGTTTCAAAGTTTTGTGCTGAAGATTTCTCTCTGGATGATACTCCATAGTCGGGTAGACCATTTGAAGTTGATTGACTTGAGACATTGAGAACGATCAGTGTTATACTATGTGAGAGATAGCCAAAATGCTCAAAATATCCAAATCAATAAAGTTATCAGTGAAAATGAAAAATGTGTCTTTTATTTTACAGAAAAAAGCACACAGACTTTTTAGCCAACCCAATACTAATGAACACTGAACATCAAATTTTGTATAATTTTCACATGTCCTGAAATAGTCCTTCGATTTTTTTTAATCATTCATTCTTAGTTCTCCAACTGTACAAAATGGCTGCAGGCCCAATCTGACCCACAGGAAGCAGGTTGCCCGGCCCCTGCTCTAAGGAGGTGTGCAAAGAAAACACATATCCTGGCCTGCACACCGGCTCAGCCTATCCTCCCCCAAGCTGCCCCTCAAGCACTCCCCAACCTTTATAAGTAGGCAGACACTCCATCTTGTCACCACATGGATATTTACTGTCCCGAGGTTTGATGGGGTCCACTCGACAGACAGTATAGGGGTTGTAGTCTTGTTTATACGTTGTGAGCAGATCCATATTCTCTTTACTTGGGACAAAGTGGTCAGGCTGGTGGATCTTCACTGGTAACACTTTGTGAGGCCCAAAATCTCTCCTGTAACAAAAATAAACACTGCCATTGGGGCTACTGGCTCATGGTTTCCATTCAACACAATTCTACAAATGTTTGCTAAGAAGTTATCTTTTGACCTGGCAGTTCCACTGCTGGGATTATACCCTAAGAATCATGAAACACCAATTCAAAAGAACCTATGCACCCTAATGTTCATAGCAGCATTATTCACAATAGCTAAGTGCTGGAAATAGCCTAAGTGCCCATCAGTAAATAAGTGGATCAAAAAACTTTGGTGCATTTACACAATGGAATACTACACAGCAGAATGAAAGAACTCCCAGCCTTCACAACAGCATGAAAAGAGAGTATTATGCTAAGTGAAATAAGCCAGGTGGTAAAAGACAAATACAATATGATCTCACCTATAAGTGGAACCTAATCAACAAAACAAGCAAGTGAGCAAAATAGAACCAGAGGCATGGAAATAAGAACAAACAGAGGGGAGGAGGGAGGGTAATAACAGGGGAAAGAAGGGGAAGAGTCAAATCAAGGAATATGTGTAAAGGACCCATGGACAAAGACAACGGCAGGGGTGGGTGGGTTTGAAGGTGGAAGGTGGGGGTGGGTAGGGTAGGGGACAGTAATGGGGGGAAAATGGGGACAACTATAATTGAACGACAATTTTTTAAAAAATAAGTTATCTTCTACTCTATCCCCCTAACTGCTCTTCCTCCTCTGTTGCTCACTTTCGAGAAAGACACCACTATTCCCTTCTCATCTAAGTCAGGCACCCAGACACCATCCTGGATCCACCCTCTCACAGCTCCGGACCATCACTCACCAGGGGAGGCCCCCCCATGGTTCAGACCCTGACTCCTTCTCACCTAGATCATGTGACAGCCTAGCGCCTGGGCTTCCTACTTCACTCCTGGCACTTCTACTGCAGTCTCCTTAGTGTGGCCTCTAAAATGAAAATCAGACTATGTCACTCCCCAGCTTAAAACTCTTCCAGATTAGGCCAACTTTGTAGCATGGTTTATAAGCTTTGATGGACCTGCCCCTGCCTTACGGCTCAACCGCATCTCCCACTTCCCCGGCGCCCCTGCCCACAGTGGTCCAACCACCCGGACCACTGAGAAGGCCTCTCTTCTGTGCCTGCTCTTTCTGCCTTCCTTCCCCATCAACCCCTTCACTGCTAACTTCTATTTTTCAGGTACCACCACTTCCTTCTCTGCACTCCTGTTGCTCCTCCTGCTAATATTTATCTCCTTCATTTACCTGACCTTACAGAAAAACCCAACAGGGCAGAACAGTACAGTAACTAGAGACATAAGACATTTATTTCTCTGCTCTCTAGCATCAGTGTCCCCATTATTTCAGGCAGTATGAAAAAAATGGGACAGAAAAAGCATGATGGCCTTCACTAAACAGGAAGCACTCTCTTCCCTAAGCATCCCACAGCCAGAGAGGCCAAGAAAATAACTGCACCAGCACCAGGAACCACCTTGGTGACACCAGGGCTTAGCTTGAACTGACAGTCCCCACCAGGGAAATTCACAATTCTCGATGCAAACTCTCTTAAGCAAACACTTCCCCCAGGGCTTCTCCTCTATACAACAGCTTGGTTTTGCCTGAAACCCATTTATTAAACTGGACAAGGGGAAGGTAGATTTTCCCTGACGGTGCTTGCCAAAATAGCCTCGCCAAGGGAGGGGGAGGTTTCCGGACAGGAAAACATCAGGCCCAAACACCAATAAAACCTACTTCCCGGCCAAAATCTGGAGCAGCATTACTGAGCCACGCTTGACTAGCAAAGGTAACACACTCCACTATAATCTGTCTTGCATGAATTATATACATAGTTGTCAATAAACCCAAACCAGTGCCTGAAAATGCTTTGTGGGATGGGGGAGGGAGTTAGGAAGCAGGAGAATTAGTTTCTCTAGGGCTCTAAGGAGGAAATAGGAGATGCTTCACTTGAACTCCCAGTAACACCCTCTGGGTAGATTTAAAAACACATTTGGCCGCAGTTACAGGTCTTCAGCCTGGACTCTCTTCCCAAGGGCTCCATGTTGGCAAATGGCAAGAGGAGCTGACCATGTATCAGCTGGGGCTATGAAAGGAGCAGGCTAAACAAGAACCCAAGGGTGGGTTCCATACTTGCACCCTTCTTGGTATATCTCATGACAGCATCTGCCTAGCACTAAATCAACTGCAATAGCACACTAGGAGTGAAGGTCCTAGGTAGCAGAGAGAATTGAAAATATCTGGAAAACCTTGTCTGAAAACTGGTTAACTGCAAAGTGGCTTTTATCAGGATGTCTGTATTCTCAGGGGAGAGCTCCCAAGATCAGGTGAGCTCTCCCCATTCCAAAAGGGGTGGGGAGGGGTTTTGGAGGCAGTTGAGGCCACACACAGACCCATGTTCATCCATAGCTACCCAAGGGTTCAGCCCTCTTCCAAAGACCAAGATCAGGAGATACCAAGGGCAAGTGGTAAGAAACAAGGCCCAGTGACCAAGCTGTGCCCCCTTTAACCCCCTAACCCCAAAGCAGTCAGGCATGCTCTCCAGTTTCAGGCCTGCCATGCTCTGGGACCCTACACACAGGTCATGGCATCCTCCTTGCTGTTACTCCTAGCGCAGGATCCGACTTCTCCTCAGAGATACTGTGAGAGTTTCAGTATCTCCAAGGTCTTCAAGGGCTCCCAGCTCTCTGAGATTTTCAGGGTGCTTTACGCCCCTGCCTCCTGCTGCTTCTACAGAAGACAAAAAGAAAAATGCCCACAGCCAAACTCACCAGTTCATGGACTATCCCGAAGTTGGTTACCCAAAGACAAAAGCTGATATAGCAGTATCCTTGCTCACTATGTTTAGGGAAAGAAATTATTCATTGAATCTCCTCCTCCTATACAAAATGTAAGTTCCTTGTGAAAGTACATCTATGATTGAATATACTAATCAGCTATAACTAAGAAAAACAATCCTGAGAGGGGAAAATGAACTATTTCTGAAGAGGGGAAAGTTTTCCATTTAATTCATGTATACCCCACCCAAAAAATATTGACTGCAGCTTAAGAGTGAATTTAATCAGAATTTATGTTTCCTCATTATGTTTTTACATTGGGAACATTCACTGAAACCTGTCATTAACCACAACGCAACTGCACGTCCCCAATCTCACATAATCTTACAGCCTTTAAGTTCACATAAAAGTCTGTTTTATCCTTCCCAGAAATTGCTCCAATTTAGTAGCTTTTTTTTAAGGGCAGTCCCCCCTCTTTCTGTGTTACACTTCCTAGTCCCTGCGCCCATTGTGGCTATGAACCAAAGGAAAAAATTGGTCAAAGATGTTAACTTTCTTTTAGATGCAAAGCTATAAAAGTTATATAGTATGGAAGGCCAGGAGCTAAACTCTGAGTTAAGTAAAGGTTAAAGGGGCCCTGCTGGGAAAGTCGTAACAACCTGACTCCCAATCATTAGGCAAAGCTAAAGAAAGGTGTTAGACAAGAATCTGACAAAAGAAAAGAAGAAATAACATAGCCAACTAGCTTCCGGGAGCCTGGAAGTAAGGAAAAGAAGATTTTTGCAGCAATAAAGGGGCCATAAAATACTTCTCAAAAAAAAAAACTTTTATTAATGTTGATCTATGAAAACTTCAGAATTTGTTAGTGTGCCCAAGTAATCTATCACATTAAATGGAATCCATTTGAAGAAGTGTCCCTGCTCTTGCCCAAAGCCAGTCTCTTCATCCCTACCCTAAATTCCTTCCTCCTTTCTTGGAAACCTCATGGAATGGACCATCACCTGGTCTGTGATTTAACTTTCCTCTTGATGGCTTCTTTCTGTCCATATTTAAACATGCTAATCAATGAAACAAACAAGCAAGCAAAATATAACCAGAGAAATTGAAATTAATAACAAGTTGACAGTAACCAGAGGGGAGGTAGGAGGGGACAATGGTGGAGAAAGGGGGAAGGTTTTCAAGAAACCTGTAAAAAGGACACATGTACAATGCCAAAGGGGAGTAGAACTGAGGATGGGAGGTGGGGTTGGCTGGGGTAGTGGGGAGTGGTGGGGGAAAATGGAGACAACTGTACTTGAACAACAATAAAATAAATAAGCATGCTCCATCCTTTCTGAACTTTTAAGCAAAAAATAAAATATAACACAAGCCTTACTAGTGTTCAGCCCTCTCTCTTCCTCTTCTCTCTTCTAGAAATGGGTGTCTACAGGTACAGACTGGCCTTCCTTACCTCCCACTCCTGCTCCACCCATCAACTCTGATTCTACTCCTTCCTTGCTCTAAGGAGGCCTGCAGAGCACCACCTTGTTTCCGAATCCAGTCCCTGCTCCACAGGTCTTTATCCTCTTGCACCTTAATTCTATCCATCCTCTCATTCATTTTTTAAATACTCTTGCCCTTGATATTTTTAAAATATCTCTCCCTTGAGATACTCCTCATGATATTTCTTCTCAACCACCTGTATGGGGTTTTGCTCTTTATCAGTTGATTTGATTTTATTACTGTACACATAATTCTCAAATTCCCCAAGGTTAAAAGGCACTCTCTAAGGCACAGGTGGCAAACACAAGGCCCGCAGGCCGAACCCGGCCCTCCACCTTGTTTTATCCAGCCCAGCACCTTGTTTCTACCCAGCAGCAGCACTGAGCTCTCACTTAACTGTTAAGGAGCAGTTACATTTATACAGTCCTAAAATTACATTTGGCCTTTGAAGGCAACCTCGAGGCTGATGTGGCTCCAGTGAAAATGAGTTTGAGACATCTGCTAAGGAAACCAATATGTTGTTGCAGGCAGGTTGGGGAGCCCATCCCAGCACACTGAGAAAGACCCCCAGGCTGAGACCAGTGGTAATATTAGTGGTTAGTCATACCGCCAAAGCTACTGGCTGAATAAATAGACTGTTTCAATAATTACTGATATTGGGATTAGGGTTAGCAGGGTGCCTTGGGGTAAGAAATGTATTCAAAGGGCTCGATCCATGTCTCTGATCCTAATAAGAACAGACTGAGCCCATTT